CCTGGGTATCTACTGTGTGTTCATGCTTCCTGGGTATCTACTGTGTGTTCATGCTCCTGGTTATCTGCTGTTGTTCATGCTTCCTGGGTATCTACTGTGTCTTCATGCTTCCTGGGTATCTGCTGTGTCTTCATGCTTCCTGGGTATCTGCTGTATCATGCTTCCTGGGTATCTACTGTGTGTTCATGCTTCCTGGGTATCTGCTGTGTGTTCATGCTTCCTGGGTATCTACTGTGTCTTCATGCTTCCTGGGTATCTGCTGTGTCTTCATGCTTCCTGGGTATCTGCTGTATCATGCTTCCTGGGTATCTACTGTGTGTTCATGCTTCCTGGGTATCTGCTGTGTCTTCATGCTTCCTGGGTATCTACTGTGTCTTCATGCTTCCTGGGTATCTACTGTGTGTTCATGCTTCCTGGGTATCTGCTGTGTCTTCATGCTTCCTGGGTATCTGCTGTGTCTTCATGCTTCCTGGGTATCTACTGTGTGTTCATGCTTCCTGGGTATCTGCTGTGTCTTCATGCTTCCTGGGTATCTGCTGTGTCTTCATGCTTCCTGGTATCTACTGTGTGTTCATGCTTCTGGTATCTGCTGTTCTTCATGCTTCCTGGTATCTGCTGTGTCTTCATGCTTCCTGGTATCTACTGTGTCTTCATGCTTCCTGGGTATCTACTGTGTCTTCATGCTTCCTGGTATCTACTGTGTCTTCAATGCTTCCTGGGTATCTACTGGGGTCTTCATGCTTCCTGGGGTATCTACTGTGTGTTTCATGCTTCCTGGGTATCTGCTGTTGTTCATGCTTCCTGGTTCTGCTTTGTGTTCATGCTTCCTGGGATCTGCTGGTGTTTCATGCTTTCCTGGGTATCTACTGTGTGTTCATGCTTCCTGGGTACTGCTGTGTCTTCATGCTTCCTGGTATCTACTGTGTGTTCATGCTTCCTGGTATCTACTGTGTGTTCATGCTTCCTGGGTATCTGCTGTGTCCTTCATGCTTCCTGGGTATCTACTGTGTCTTCATGCTTCCCTGGGTATCTACTGTGTGTTCATGCTTCCTGGGTTACTGCTGTGTCTTCATGCTTCCTGGTATCTACTGTGTGTTCATGCTTCCTGGTATCTACTGTGTGTTCATGCTTTCCTGGGTATCTGCTGTGTCTTCATGCTTCCTGGTATCTACGTGTGTTCATGCTTCCTGGGTATCTACTGTGTGTTCATGCTTCCTGGGTATCTACTGTGTCTCATGCTTCCTGGGTATCTACTGTGTCTTCATGCTTCCTGGGTATCTACTGTGTCTTCATTGCTTCCTGGGTATCTACTGTGTCTTCATGCTTTTCCTGGTATCTACTGTGTGTTCATGCTTCCTGGTATCTGCTGTGTGTTCATGCTTCCTGGTATCTGCTGTGTGTTCATGCTTCCTGGGTATCTGCTGTGTGTTCATGCTTCCTGGGTATCTACTGTGTGTTCATGCTCCTGGGTATCTGCTGTGTCTTCATGCTTCCTGGGTATCTACTGTGTGTTCATGCTTCCTGGTATCTACTGTGTGTTCATGCTTCCTGGGTATCTGCTGTGTCTTCATGCTTCCTGGGTATCTACTGTGTGTTCATGCTTCCTGGGTATCTACTGTGTGTTCATGCTTCCTGGTATCTGCTGTGTCTTCATGCTTCCTGGGTATCTACTGTGTGTTCATGCTTCCTGGGTATCTACTGTGTGTTCATGCTTCCTGGGTATCTACTGTGTGTTCATGCTTCCTGGGTATCTACGTGTGTTCATGCTTCCTGGGTATCTGCTGTGTGTTTCATGCTTCCTGGGTATCTACTGTGTCTTCATGCTTCCTGGGTATCTGCTGTGTCTTCATGCTTCCTGGGTATCTGCTGTATCATGCTTCCTGGGTATCTACTGTGTGTTCATGCTTCCTGGGTATCTGCTGTGTGTTCATGCTTCCTGGTATCTACTGTGTCTTCATGCTTCCTGGGTATCTGCTGTGTCTTCATCTTCCTGGGTATCTACTGTGTCTTCATGCTTCCTGGGTATCTACTGTGTGTTCATGCTTCCTGGTATCTGCTGTGTCTTCATGCTTCCTGGGTATCTACTGTGTCTTCATGCTTCCTGGTATCTACTGTGTGTTCATGCTCCTGGTATCTGCTGTGTCTTCATGCTTCCTGGGTATCTGCTGTGTCTTCATGCTTCCTGGGTATCTACTGTGTGTTCAATGCTTCCTGGGTATCTGCTGTGTCTTCATGCTTCCTGGTAATCTCTGTGTCTTCATGCTTCCTGGGTATCTACTGTGTGTTCATGCTTCCTGGGTATCTGCTGTGTCTTCATGCTTCCTGGGTATCTGCTGTGTCTTCATGCTTCCTGGGTATCTACTGTGTCTTCATGCTTCCTGGGTATCTACTGTGTCTTCATGCTTCCTGGGTATCTACTGTGTCTTCATGCTTCCTGGGTATCTACTGTGTCTTCATGCTTCCTGGTATCTACTGTGTGTTCATGCTTCCTGGGTATCTGCTGTGTGTTCATGCTTCCTGGGTATCTGCTGTGTGTTCATGCTTCCTGGGTATCTGCTGTGTGTTCATGCTTCCTGGGTATCTACTGTGTGTTCATGCTTCCTGGGTATCTGCTGTGTCTTCATGCTTCCTGGGTATCTACTGTGTGTTCATGCTTCCTGGGTATCTACTGTGTGTTCATGCTTCCTGGGTATCTGCTGTGTCTTCATGCTTCCTGGGTATCTACTGTGTCTTCATGCTTCCTGGGTATCTACTGTGTGTTCATGCTTCCTGGGTATCTGCTTGTGTCCTTCATGCTTCCTGGGTATCTACTGTGTGTTCATGCTTCCTGGGTATCTACTGTGTGTTCATGCTTCCTGGTATCTGCTGTGTCTTCATGCTTCCTGGGTATCTACTGTGTGTTCATGCTTCCTGGGTATCTACTGTGTGTTCATGCTTCCTGGGTATCTACTGTGTCTTCATGCTTCCTGGGTATCTACTGTGTCTTCATGCTTCCTGGGTATCTACTGTGTCTTCATGCTTCCTGGGTATCTACTGTGTCTTCATGCTTCCTGGGTATCTACTGTGTGTTCATGCTTCCTGGGTATCTGCTGTGTGTTCATGCTTCCTGGGTATCTGCTGTGTGTTCATGCTTCCTGGTATCTGCTGTGTGTTCATGCTTCCTGGGTATCTACTGTGTGTTCATGCTTCCTGGGTATCTGCTGTGTCTTCATGCTTCCTGGGTATCTACTGTGTGTTCATGCTTCCTGGGTATCTACTGTGTGTTCATGCTTCCTGGGTATCTGCTGTGTCTTCATGCTTCCTGGGTATCTACTGTGTGTTCATGCTTCCTGGGTATCTACTGTGTGTTCCATGCTTCCTGGGTATCTGCTGTGTCTTCATGCTTCCTGGGTATCTACTGTGTGTTCATGCTTCCTGGGTATCTACTGTGTGTTCATGCTTCCTGGGTATCTACTGTGTGTTCATGCTTCCTGGTATCTGCTGTGTCTTCATGCTTCCTGGGTATCTACTGTGTCTTCATGCTTCCTGGGTATCTACTGTGTGTTCATGCTTCCTGGGTATCTACTGTGTGTTCATGCTCCTGGGTATCTACTGTGTCTTCATGCTTCCTGGGTATCTACTGTGTGTTCATGCTTCCTGGGTATCTACTGTGTGTTTCATGCTTCCTGGGTATCTGCTGTGTCTTCATGCTTCCTGGGTATCTACTGTGTCTTCATGCTTCCTGGGTATCTACTGTGTGTTCATGCTTCCTGGGTATCTACTGTGTGTTCATGCTTCCTGGTATCTACTGTGTGTTCATGCTTCCTGGGTATCTGCTGTGTCTTCATGCTTCCTGGGTATCTACTGTGTCTTCATGCTTCCTGGGTATCTACTGTGTGTTCATGCTTCCTGGGTATCTACTGTGTGTTCATGCTTCCTGGGTATCTACTGTGTCTTCATGCTTCCTGGGTATCTACTGTGTGTTCATGCTTCCTGGGTATCTACTGTGTGTTCATGCTTCCTGGTATCTGCTGTGTCTTCATGCTTCCTGGGTATCTACTGTGTCTTCATGCTTCCTGGGTATCTACTGTGTGTTCATGCTTCCTGGGTATCTACTGTGTGTTCATGCTTCCTGGGTATCTGCTGTGTCTTCATGCTTCCTGGGTATCTGCTGTGTCTTCATGCTTCCTGGGTATCTACTGTGTCTTCATGCTTCCTGGGTATCTGCTGTGTCTTCATGCTTCCTGGGTATCTGCTGTGTCTTCATGCTTCCTGGGTATCTACTGTGTCTTCATGCTTCCTGGGTATCTACTGTGTGTTCATGCTTCCTGGGTATCTACTGTGTGTTCATGCTTCCTGGGTATCTGCTGTGTCTTCATGCTTCCTGGGTATCTGCTGTGTCTTCATGCTTCCTGGGTATCTACTGTGTCTTCATGCTTCCTGGGTATCTGCTGTGTGTTCATGCTTCCTGGGTATCTGCTGTGTCTTCATGCTTCCTGGGTATCTACTGTGTCTTCATGCTTCCTGGGTATCTGCTGTGTCTTCATGCTTCCTGGGTATCTGCTGTGTCTTCATGCTTCCTGGGTATCTACTGTGTCTTCATGCTTCCTGGGTATCTACTGTGTCTTCATGCTTCCTGGGTATCTACTGTGTCTTCATGCTTCCTGGGTCTCCACCCACTTCATCACATTATTTGGTTTACTAACGTTATGGACTGGAATAATTATTGAAATTTTGCTTAAAGACAACAGCCTGAACAAACCTAATAACATATATCGAGAAATTTACCTACACGGCGAAACGTTGTTGCAATAAAAACTTGTTCTGTAACGTTTCTCTTCCAAACTCACCTGAGCTGAGGTAGACAATAAGTGATTATATTTATGGTGAAGCACTAAACTCGTAGGGGCCATACATAGTCTGGAAAATGGAAGACAAGTAGGACTGTCCGAGGAAGGGGAGGATAGCTCCATTTCCTTGGACGAGAGGTCCCTCAGTATGTGAGGTGAGGCGAGACGTACCTGGGGGAGGCGGTGCTGGAGACTCCACGTCAACAATGAGAGAACCGTCGTTGCTAGCCTCGTCCAGCAGCACACTGGTCGCCACTGACACCTGCAACAACCTCTCCCTTCTTAGTGTTGATAATTGCATAAAATAGCCACAAGTTGATGAGTAATACACATGTGCAACAGCTTGGTATCTTTATCTCGAAACGTTTCGCCTACACGGTAGGCTTCTTCAGAAAAATACAGAGAAGATGCCAAACTGTTGCACAGGTGTCCTACTCAACACCCTCCTCTTAATTACTAGCATTATATGTATGGGGAATGGGAGGCAATTACATATGACCCAAGGAAGGGAACGGTAGCTCAAATTCCTTGGATCGAAAGCCCTTCACTGGTATCCAGGTTACCCTTACCCTTTTGAGGTAAACGTACTGTTAAAAACAAACACTCACATTCCCTTAAAACACAACTCGGACATTATATTTAATTAATAATAATGTGTGTCTCCACAAAACATAATGTACAAAGGAAATATCTATAAGTGGCTACCTGATTTTTTAAATACAATTCCTTGCATTTACAACCTGAGAATGACTCGTCTGACTGGCTTCAAATTTTTAGTGCTAGTGTACATGATGTGCATGTTCAGGAGCCCGCTGATCAATTTTACACAGACCCTTCCGAGATTTCATTTCCATTCAGTAACTTGAGAAAGTGTCTACTGATCGTCTTCAGACTTCAATACTGCTGTATCCTACTTAGAAATAGGTTGAGAGTGTCACTGGAATGTGTAGGTTCCGATTTGCCATTTTTTTTAAAATGGGAGAGTAATTTTTCATGAAATAACTTAAGTATGCCTCTTCTGAACAGATTCAATTTTAATGACTGATATATCCTATAAACAGGATGATGGTATAAACCTTGGTAATAAATACCGACAAGTTGGTTTAGAAAGACACGTAACAGTGTTTGCTTACGTGTCTTTATAAACCAAACAGGATGATGCTCAGGAGCTTCAGGCTTCATGGATGAAAATTTGCTAATTCCTTAAACTAGTTAATAAACTTGGAACTGCTGGATTCCATGTGTTAACCGAAGAACGTACGCGAAAAAACTGGGTCACATTCTTGGTATCTAAAAAAAAAAGGGGCAACAAATTCTGGTTATTATTGCTTGTTATGTAAGTGTAGAGAGAGTAACAACGGCTCTGTGCAATACCTGTACGAACACGTGGCATGGAATATCATCCACTAGCACTTTCACTTATCACCACCTAAAACCATCACCTACCACCATCATCATTTTTTTTACTGGGGGAGGTGGTTACTGGCTCAGTTTAGTGTGTTACACGGAGAATGAGGAGGGTTCACTAACATTCCACTCTGGTGGTCCTCAAAAACTACAACTGTTACTGCACAAGTGAATATTATAACTTCCCTACACAACTTTCTTGTTTAATAAATTTTTACATACTTTCTTATCAATAACCAACATGTTCAACATTTGTATAAATGCAAGACAATGTGTAAGTACACTTTAATTACACACTTCTAATACTTGAAGTTTCTTAGAAATCGTCTGAGTTTCATGATTAATTTTCTTCTGGTGCATCTAGCATCTTTGGTATTCCTCCTGGCTGCTATGTTTAATATCCAGACATAAGATGGGGTGATGAAAACATTGACAATGGACTTGTCCGTACTGAGGAGCAGAAGTGAGGGAAAATACTTTATCCCATGGAATGTTCTGTTACGAAATGGAGTGTAAGATACGCGAAGGCTTATTTTTCCATAAATTTATGGCGTGCAGCAGCAGCAGCAGCTGGCAATATTATTTGTTTTCTGTGCAGTGTGATCACAGAAAACTTTCATTAGTGTTATACTGATAACGTGCAACATGAGCACCTGTTATGTGAGAGTCAACTGTATAAGTCTCTTAGTATTCAAGGATGGTTGGCAGCCATCTTAGATTGTTGAAATTCCTCAAGAATGACAGTGACACTCAGAATAATCCATCGCGCCACCTTACAAGTTCATTATCAACTATAAACAATTAAGCACCATAAAACTCCAGGTTCATCCATCTTTCCACTACACTATTTAATTAACTCGAGTAACTGAGGCAATAAATATACAATATAATTCAAAATGGATAAACACCATGTATGGGAAATGGATGAAAGCAAAAATAACTCCCGTAAAATTATAGACAGAGGTAAAATTTAAAAAAAATATGTGACAGTGAAAAGAACCGATTAAAAAAATATTTGAGGTGTACAAAAACAACTGAGAGTATAAAAGATTTGAAATTGAAAATCCCATAGAAGTGGAAAAAATGAGCTATAAAAAATATGGGAAGTGAAAAAATGTGGGATTGTAAAAGAAGCGAGACTGAAAAAAAATCTAGGACTACAAAAAAATAATCTAAAAAAAAAAGTGAAAAAAAAAAAAATCTGAGAAAAATATCTGAGAGTGAAGGTAAAACTTATACCAACACAACCCACTACCACAACACACTACCACTACTCATACCATCACAACTTACACCAACACAACCCACTACCACAACACACTACCACTACTCATACCATCACAACTTACACCAACACAACCCACTACCACAACACACTACCACTACTCATACCATCACAACTTACACCAACACAACCCACTACCACAACACACTACCACTACTCATACCATCACAACTTACACCAACACAACCCACTACCACAACACACTACCACTACTCATACCATCACAACTTACACCAACACAACCCACTACCACAACACACCACCACTACTCATACCATCACAACTCACACCAACACAACCCACTAACACAACACACCACTACTCATACCATCACAACTTACACCAACACAACTCACTACCACAACACACTACCACTACTCATACCATCACAACTTAACACCAACACAACCCACTACCACAACACACCACTACTCATACCATCACAACTTACACCAACACAACCCACTACCACAACACACCACCACTACTCATACCATCACAACTCACACCAATACAACTCACTACCACAACACACCACCACTACTCATACCATCACAACTTACACCAACACAACCCACTACCACAACACACCACCATTACTCATACCATCACAACTTACACCAACACAACACACTACCACAACACACCACTACTCATACCATCACAACTTACACCAACACAACCCACTACCACAACACACCACCACTACTCATACGATCACAACTTACACCAACACAACTCACTACCACAACACACCACCACTACTCATACCATCACAACTCACACCAACACAACTCACTACCACAACACACCACCACTACTCATACCATCACAACTTACACCAACACAACCCACTACCACAACACACCACCACTACTCATACCATCACAACTTACACCAACACAACACACTACCACAACACACACTACTCATACCATCACAACTTACACCAACACAACCCACTACCACAACACACCACCACTACTCATACGATCACAACTTACACCAACACAACTCACTACCACAACACACCACCACTACTCATACCATCACAACTCACACCAACACAACTCACTACCACAACACACCACCACTACTCATACCATCACAACTTACACCAACACAACCCACTACCACAACACACCACCACTACTCATACCATCACAACTTACACCAACACAACACACTACCACAACACACCACTACTCATACCATCACAACTTACACCAACACAACCCACTACCACAACACACCACCACTACTCATACGATCACAACTTACACCAACAACCCACTACCACAACACACCACCACTACTCATACCATCACAACTCACACCAACACAACTCACTACCACAACACACCACCACTATTCATACCATCACAACTTACACCAACACAACCCACTACCACAACACACCACCACTACTCATACCATCACAACTCACACCAACACAACTCACTACCACAACACACCACCACTACTCATACCATCGCAAAACACCACTACTCATACCATGACAACTCACACCACCACAACTCACACCAACACAACTCACACCAATACAACTCATTACCACAACACACCACCACTACTCATACCATCACAACACACCACTACTCATACCATGATAACTCACACCAACACAACCCACTACCACAACACACACCACTACTCATACCATCACAACTTACACCAACACAACCCACTACCACAACACACCACCACTACTCATACCATCACAACCCACTACCACAACACACCACCACTACTCATACCATCACAACTCACACCAACACAACCCACTACCACAACACACCACCACTACTCATACCATCACAACTTACACCAACACAACCCACTACCACAACACACCACCACTACTCATACCATCACAACTCACACCAACATAACTCACTACCACAACACACCACCACTACTCATACCATCACAACTCACACCAACACAACTCACTACCGCAACACACCACCACTACTCATACCATCGCAAAACACCACTACTCATACCATGACAACTCACACCACCACAACTCACACCAACACAACTCACACCAATACAACTCATTACCACAACACACCACCACTACTCATACCATCACAACACACCACTACTCATACCATGATAACTCACACCAACACAACCCACTACCACAACACACCACCACTACTCATACCATCACAACTTACACCAACACAACCCACTACCACAACACACCACCACTACTCATACCATCACAACTCACACCAACACAACCCACTACCACAACACACCACCACTACTCATACCATCACAACTTACACCAACACAACCCACTACCACAACACACCACCACTACTCATACCATAACAACTCACACCAACACAACCCACTACCACAACACACCACCACTACTCATACCATCACAACTTACACCAACACAACTCACTACCACAACACACCACCACTACTCATACCATCACAACTCACACCAACACAACTCACTACCGCAACACACCACCACTACTCATACCATGACAACTCACACCACCACAACTCACACCAACACAACT